GGCCCTATTTCAAGCCTGCCTCTTGGGACACTGTGGGATGGGCCCAGAAATCTATGTTTCATCTAGCTACCAGGTGATTATGATGCACACAGGCAAAGAAGAAGAACAATTTCACCAAAGTGACTAGTAAACAGTTGTAGATTATAGGACAGAAACAGCTGGTCCCACATGAATGGGTAATAAACACATGTTCTCTGAGATACGGACCCGTGGTGTAAATTTATTCCCAAAGCTTTATTCCACGTTACCAGTTCTATCATAGCATTTGCTTTGAGCTAAACAGAGGAAGGCAGAAGATGCAGTACTGATTCTTCAGTCACTGCTCTTGAAACCACTGTTGTTCCATGTCTCAGATTACACTTCATTTAAGAAGCAAAGCACAATTGCCTGGAGTCATTAACTTTTTTAGAGAGGGATTTTTGCTATAGGGCATGTACAATCACTGGAAAGAAAGAGAGAGGTTGACAGAGAGACAGAAAGTAAGAAATCACCCCTGCGGGGATGGACATGCCACAATCCCTTCTCCTCCATTCTCCTCTTGGGATTTTGGGCACACATGCCCAGCATGAGTTTCAAGTTGCTGAGTCTGGGACTTGAACCGTGGTTTAACATGTGGGAATCCAGAGACGAAACAATTATGCCATCTGTTGGTCCTGCATAGAGTTACTTTTTAAAAAAATGAATACTCTTTCAGAATGTTTTTAGGCATCAAAAATGTAGACTTAGGGAACCAGCAGTTAGCGTAATGGCTATGTCGCTGGACTCCCATGTAGTCGACCGCGGTTTGTGTCCCGGACCCGGTGGCTTAAAACTCACGCCAGGCGCGTGTGCGTGCGTGCCCAAGATCCCGAGAGGAGAATGGAGGAGAAGGGATTGTGGCGTGACCATCCCCCCTGGGGGGTGATTTCTCACTTTCTGTCTCTATGTCTCTCTCTGTCTGTCTGGTGAGCGCACGCGCCCTATAGTGAAAATCTCTCCAAAAAAAAAAAAATGTAGACTTAAGCATCAGGTTTCAGGTTAGCCCTAGTCTGGTGGTTAAGAGAGTTGGATCTCACATGGCCGACCGTGATTTTATTTATTTATTTATTTTTTAGGGTTTTTGCTATAGGGCACGTGAGCTTGCCTGAAAGACAGAGAGAGACAGAAAGCTAGAAATCATCCCCTGGGGGCATGGCCACGCTGCATTCCCTTCTCCTCCATTCTCCTCTTGGGATCTTGGGCACACATGCACGTGTGCCTGGTGTGAGTTTAAGCCTCCAGGTCCAAGACTCGAACCATGGTCAACTACGTGGGAGTTCAGTGACATAGCCATTACGCTAACTGCTGGTCCCATGGCCGACCATGATTTTAATCCCAGCCTTGCAGAGGCTGAAAATCATGCCAGGTGTGTATATGTACATTCCCCAGATCCCAAAGGGATGGAGAGATTGAGAAGGAGTTCTGTGTAATCACACTCCGCTGGGGAAAGCTCTCTCTCTCTCCCTCCCTTTCTTTGCTTCTTTGTTTCTCTCTGGCAAGCGCACATGCCATCTAGCAATTAGGAGGGGAAAATAATTGTGTTTGTATGCAGCTTTATAACCTATATTTAATTATATTAACTAAAAAGCCCCAAAATCTATCCAGATTCCCTTAGTTTTAGTCAAATGTCCCTTTTTTTATCCCCAAAGCTTATCCAGGACTCCAAAGCACACTAGTCATCATTTCTCCTTAAGATTCTCTAGGAAGGTTTCTTAGGTTTTTGTTATCTTGATGACCTTGACACTTGTGAGAAGTGCCGGTCAGGTATTTTATAGAACCTCCCTCCCCATTTGGAACTTGTCTGGTTTCTTTTCTCTTTTGTCATAGTTAGACTGAGGTTATACGTGTATGGGGATATATTGTCGTTTTCATCACACTCTTTGAAGGGCACACACTATCTTCTACTGAAGTGTTGTTGCTTCTTGGCTCTCAGTGGACAGAGCAAGGAATACATGTGTATATTAGCTCATAGGTACACACACACACACCTGCATCTATATTAAGCTAAATGTGAATTTATACTGACATCCCTTACTCTAATTCATTACTACCATGGTTCATTCTAGTCTCCCCCACCCCTTGTTTATCTGTAACCTTCTTCTTCAACAGTGAGAATTCTGGTTCACTGGGGGGCTGGCAGATGGTGTGGTACTTAAGAGCACTGGGCTTCCACATAGCCGACCGTGGTTCAAGTCCCGGATCTGGTGACTTGTTTTCTCATTCTCTCTCTCTTGCTCTGTCCCTCTCAGGTCAAATGAAAATAAATAAAGTTAAATAAAATAACTCTTGAAAAAACAAAAATGAATTCTGATTCACACCATTGTCATTCATTTACTGTTTGTTCAATCCCAGTGTAGGTGTACAGTAGCTTCACACTTGTTCATCTGTACTCCAATGAGAAGCGACCAGATACAGTGATTGTGAAGAGCTCCTTTGATTTTCAATCTCCTAGTTCCTAGTCATTACAGAAGTTACCCACAAAGGCCAGCCTCTTTTCCCTCTTTCCCCTTCAGTGAGGTTATGTCAGACATTTGTAATATTCTTAGATTAGTTTATTATGTCAGGGTCAGCAGGTGGCGTAGTGGTTAAGGAGCTGGACTCTCACAAGGTCAACTGCAGTTGGAGTTTCAGACCTCATGGCTTGAAAATCATTCTGGGCATGTGTGCATGCATGCCCAAAATCCCAGGAGGAGAATAGAAGAGAAGAGATTGAGGCATGGCGGTCCCCTGCTGGGGTGATTTCTCACTTCCCCTCGCACTATCTTTCCCTCTCTTTCTCATCTATAGTGGGCATACAAGCCCTTTGTAGGGAGCAACCTTAAAACATTATTTTGTCATTGTCTTCATTCTATCTTGGAGTCACCTAATTCTATAACTAACATCTTTTAAAGTTTGTACTCCTTACAGTTCACTTTTTATGTTATGAAATGCTCTGGGTTTTTATCAAATACATAATGTCACGTTTCCACTACTGTATCATTCAAAATAGTCTCCCTTTCGTAAATATATCCCGTGCACTTTACCTAGCCAACTTTTCCTCCTCCCGAAACTCTTGACAATCTTTGATTTCTTTCTTTTTTTTTTTAGAGACAGAGAGATTTTTGCTATAGGGCACATGTGCTCGCTGAAGAGACAGAAAGCGAAAAATCACCCCCCAGGGGGGATGACCACGCTGCAATCCCTTCTCCTCCATTCTCCTCTTGGGATCTTGGGCATGCACATACCTGCTCCTGTCATGAGTTTTAGGCCACTGGGTCCAGGACTCCAACTGTGGTCAACTATGTGGGAGTCCAGCAATGTAGCCATTACACCATCCCCGGTCCCATATTTGATCTATTTTATGTTTCTATGATTTTGCCCTTTCTAGAATGTCATATAAACAGAATCATATAGTATATCCTTTCGAGTGGCTTCTATAATGTAGTAATGTTACCGAACTCAAATCAGGTCCCCTCGCCCAAGCGCTATAAAACCAAGCCATAGGCACATGGTGTGATGAAGGAAAGTACAGCTTTATTGCAAAGCGCAAAGCAAGGAGAGCGGGCAGCTCATGCTGAAAAGACCCAGTCTCCCTGAGATATTCCCCACATGTGTTTTTAAGGACAAAAATTAGGGGCAGAGGTCTTAGGCGCGTGATCAGTTCAGTGATTGGTTCAAGAGGGTGCTATCATCTCGTGGGCATTCTTGATTGGTGAGGCCTTAGATAATCAAATTTCTCTTCGGGTGTCTGGAACCGTTCAGCCTGGAGTCTTTGAGCTCACAACCAGCAGTTTCCAGCCTACAAAATATCTTACATATTGAAATGAAAAGCTTCTTTCCTTTAAGTGAGAGTTTTAGAGGTCAAATGGCCCTCACTCATGGTCCATGTTGGTCATTATCATAACCAAAGTCTGAAGACTGACTCTTTACTCTGGGCCATTACAATGCAAATGGACTTTATATTTCGGGAACCCTAGAAAATACATATGACTCATTCATTAAGTTGTACTGGTAGTATTTTTATTTTTTGTGTGTTTGTGTGTATGTGTGTATGTGTGTTTAGATGGGATCTCTCTGCGTTGTAATTCTCCTGGTCTATATTTGTAACACGGGTGAAATAAAGGGAGAGCTTCTGCAACTGGGGTTCCAGGAGCTGGCACTGGCTTTTTAGCCTAGGCTGGGATTTGAACCCAGGCCACCCATGTTGCCCCAGCCTATCAAGCGGCAGCATCTTACCAGCTGTACCAATATTTTTATATTCAAACTTACATACCTTATTATCAAAATATCATTTCCTTTATAATATCTGGCTAAGTGGTGTGCTTAATAAACATCAACAGAGGCTAATAAGGAAGGAAAAGAAAGTAGATTTACAAAATTAGAGAGGAGGAATATAATGGTAACATTTATTATTTGTTAAAAATAGCTTTTATGTAACAGTCTATGTGATGCAAAACTGTGTAAAGCACACTTTGGGGATTTCCAACACCAAATGCTACTACAGTCCTGAAATCGTACAAAGGCATGCTTCACTTCAAAAGAAATTTTATTTTATTTTTTAAAAAGAACTGCTTTTTATTTAATACTATTTATTTATTTATTTATGTATTTTAATTTGACCAGAGAGGAACAGAGTGAGAGAGAGGGAAAGTGAGAAAGCAAGCCTTCAGGTCCGGGACTCGAGCTGCGGTCGGCTGTGTGGGAGTCCAGTGCCCTTAACCACCATGCCACCTGCTGGCTCCAAGAAGTTTTATTTTTTACAATTTTGATTTAAACAGATTTATTAGGAGGTTATTATATGTTTTATATTAGAGTTTCTCATTTTCCAGGAGAATTCAGAATATTTTAATTAAAATACCCAGATTTCTCTGGAATTCCAACCTGTTCTATTTATTTGAAAGCCTAGGTTACAAATCTAAGGCACAAATCTTGATTTAAAGTGAAATATGCGAAGTGTCACAAAGCTCAGGTATTTGGTTATTTAACCCCAACATGAATTTCAGAAATCATCAACCGAATCAAAGACCCTACGGCATCAGTTCCACTGAGACCTTCCTTGTCTGAGGACAAAGGCTATGAAAAAATTGTAGTCATGGTGAGGATTTGCTGGGACGAATCTCCAGAGAAAAGGCCTACGTTTTCTTCCATCAAGAAAATTTTACGAGAAGCCAGTCCCAAAGGGTGAGTTAGATGTGCAACAGACATTTTCTCCTAGTCATTTAACCATTAGAATTTTCAAACTATATGACTGCGTTGGGGCTGGCAGGTCGTGCAGTGGTTAAGGCCACTGGACTCCCACATGGCCGACCACCGTTCAGGTCCCGGACCTGGTGACTTGCTTTCTCTCTCTCTCTGCCCATCTCTTGTCAAATTGAAATAAATAAATAAATAAATAAATGGATAAATAAAGTTAAATGAAATAATTCTTTAAAAAAAAACCCAACTGTATGGCTGTGATTGGGTCTATGTGGCTCAATCCCTTCGTCTTCATTCCTTCACCTCTTCCCTCTCTTCCTCCCTTCCTTCTATCATCATATACTCATTGCCCACCCTATGTAAAGAACTGTACTACATGCTGAACGAAGTGAAGCATAAATCCCCCTTTATTTTATTAATGGTACAAAAATAGATCAGGTATTAATAATCTCACTGCTCTCTTTACCCATTCCACACATCACTAGTCAATTAAGGCCTTCTTTCCCAGGGACTTTTGTCATGCCAAGGCTCATGACTAATCACTTGGGTCAAAACCATTGGATAAAAATTATTTACTAACCTTGGAACAGGTTATTGACTTATATGATGCATGCCTCTCAAAGAATTTTCCCAATAGAGTTTTCCTTTCCATTAGGATAATTGTATCTCTTGATATACTGAGTACATACAAAGATGCTACCTAAAAGTAGCTTCAGCTGATAGAAAGAGCCCTGGGCTGAGTCAGGCACTTACTCGTAATTTGGCTATTCTGCAAAAGAGTCTTAACAGTTTGTGTTCTGCATTTTCTAGATTGTATTAACTAAACACTTTTTAATAATATTTTTATATTTTTTAAAGAATTTTTTAAATAATTATTTTATTTTATTTATTCATTCATTTATTTTATTTTTTAAGTTTGACTGGAGAGAGACAGACACTGAGAGTGGGAGAGAGAGGAAGTGAGAAAGCAAGCCACCAGATTCAGGACTCGAACCCTGGTCAGCCATGTGGGAGTGTCCAGCGCCTTAACCACCACACCAGCTACTGGTCCCTATTTTTTTTTTTTTTTTTTTTTTGCTGGTTCCCTGCAGGTCCCTATTTTTATATATTTTTAATCAACAAGTGAAAAATTGTTTATGTTTATGGTGTACAATGTGATACACATAATGTGACCAGCAGTTGGCGCAATGGCTATGTCGCTGCACTCCCATGTAGTCGACGGCAGTTCAAATCCCAGACCCGGTGGCTTAAACTCACACTGCCAGGCGTGTGTGCGTGTGTGCCCAAGATCCTGAGAGGAGAATGGAGGAGAAGGGATTGCAGCAAGGCCATCCCCCCGGGAAGTGATTTCTCACTTTCTGTCTCTGTCTCTTTCTGTCTTTCTGGCGAGTGCATGCGCCCTATAGCAAAAACCTCTCCAAAAAAAAAAAAAAAAAAAAGAGACACACATATACTTTATAGAATTATTAAGCCAAGCTAATGAACATAGTGATATGTCTCAGGTCATTTAATGTGTCCTGATTGGAAAATACAGTTCCCAATGTTAAGCTAAATCCATTTCCTATGTCAATCTCCTTATCTGAAAGATAAAAGATTTAAATAATTTCTCTGAAGACTCTTCTAGAACAAGAGCTTATATCACTAGAAGAACCCCTTACATCAGACAATCTGAAAAGGAAAGAATGACTCATCCTGAAGTCTGTATTTGCAGTTGGCCATGACCATGATAAGGCACACCTGGGGGCGTGGGCGAAGGGCCATTGGAGGTCACCATTTGTTGAGTGCCTGCTGGTTGTCAGATGCGGCCCTAGGCACTGAGGCTCATGTAAATGAAGGGTGCTGCTTAAGCTCACAGAGCTGATAAAGGGCAGGCTCTGTCTGCCTCGTGGCCTCATTGCCATTGTCATTTCACTGCTGTCCTTGGGCAATTCTAGAGGGAACCCTAAGGGCGAGAAGTGTTCAGCCGGCATGTGCAGTTGGAGGTTATGCTCCACTGCAGCCCTCAGGTTCTTGGAGGAAGACGTTCATGTTTGGGTTCTTTTAAAGCCATGTGAGTGTCTTAGACAATATGATGAGCAAGCTGGAAGTGTATGCCAATCACCTGGAGGAAGTGGTGGAAGAGAGGACCAACCAACTGATGGCAGAGAAAAGGAAGGTGGAGAAGCTTCTGTCCACGATGTTGCCCAGGTATTCCGAATCTTGGGAGCTTTACAGAGAAACTCGGGGAGAAATAGTATCACTATCTAATAAAAGGGCCCACAAAGAGCGATGATTTCCATTGTTATTTTCTCAAGAGGATGTTCCTTTAAAAGGGGTCAATCATTTTGTGTATAATTTGGTACACCATGAATCCATAGGAATAAAGAATATATATGGTACAATAGATCTTTTATGTGGAAGATGGTGAATGCAGCAACTGGAGAGGGGCCACCAGATGGCGCTCTAGTCTCACGAGTATGACTTAATTCTTCAGTATTTCAGATTGCATGTCCAAAACCTTGGCACAGCGCACTGTGTACCCATGACTATAGATTCGAAAACTGCTTCATGTTTGGTTTTGTTTTCATTTGTGTACTCTCTCAACACTTGACAGAAACACTTGCTGTAAAAATTCCTGTACACTGTACACTTATGTGTGTCTTGACCAAAGAAGTGAAGGTGGGATTTTGAAATGTGTAGAGGTGAGATTGGTTGATTGAAGTAAAAATACTGATTTGTCAATTAGTGAATGATTACATCTGCTTCCACAGTGGCTGGGGGGGGGGTTACAATCAAACTGTACAACCACTAAGGGAAAACGAAATGCCTTCAGGGAGAAAACCCTTCTTATAAAGGCATTTATGTGACCCATTCCCATCCTCCTTCCCCTACCCCATCCATACTCATCAATTACATTATATCGTTAGAGAAAACGCGTGGGAGAAATGAGCGTCAAAATAATTCCTCAAGGTGTCAGACAGTGGCACAGTGGTCACATAATGCTCTGTAATGCTGTACCCTCAGGGGAAGGTGCCAGCTTCTTGTCCAAAGGCCCTCCTATACATGCTGGAGTGTAGACGCATGTCCATGATCCAGGGTTGACTGAGGCTGGGGGTAGATCATGAAGTGAGAACCTGTTGGGGTGCGCCCCCCCCCCCAGAAGAAATACATAGACTTAAAAAAAGAAAAATAGTCCTCTAGATGATGAATTTTGTTAACTAAAAACCTAGCCCATTAAAGCAAAAAGAACTATGAGAGTGATTTTGCAGAGGTCTGTAGGAGACAAGATGAATAAGATCCTGTTCAAAAATGATCTCTCTCTCTCTCTCTGGTTGCAGCTTCATTGGGGAACAACTCATAGCTGGAAGGTCCGTGGAACCAGAACATTTTGAATCTGTGACAATCTTTTTCTCTGACATTGTTGGATTCACAAAACTGTGTTCTCTCAGCTCCCCCTTGCAAGTCGTAAAGCTCCTCAATGACCTATACAGTCTATTCGATCACATCATTAAAACTTACGACGTGTACAAGGTGAGCCTCCCGTCCCTGGTGGTGACGTAACACGTGCTCCTGGCTGGCTGTTGTCGGGGATGACTGAGGATGGAGTCTGGCCCAGTCGTCAGCCAGCAGGAAGACTCCGTTTCATGCTGGCAGTCTATCTCAATTTGTGGCAGAAACTCAATGTTTTATTCCCTGTTTTTCTTGGGAAAGAGCTTGATTAGTCACAGATGTATGTGCTTGTCAAGAATTAGCAGTCGTTCCCTCTGTTTCCTTCCATTATCGTACCTTACAGTAACACATTTGAAAATGAAGCTTTGGCCTTCCACTGGCTAGTTCTTCTCTCCTGAGTATGCACTTTTCAGGCTCAGAGAGGCTCATACTTATTCTCCTTTAGAGGTGGTTTTTGGATTTTGTGTGGGTGTCTCATCTGTTGTCCTGATCCTTAGCAATTCACGGTGAAGATGGACTCCTGAGTGTAGGCCATCAGACTGGTGGCTAAACGGTGCTATTCTAGAAAGTATATAAGTACGTTCATCTAGAGTGAAAAACAATTTTTTCAGGGGGAGGGTAGCAAAAAGAGTAATGAGTGGGCTTCGTTGAGGTGGTGGTGACAATAGTCACTTTCTGTGTTCTCTGACTTTTCAAATGGGGTCAGACCATGACTGCAGGGAGAGCACCATGTTCCTGAGCTCACGTTTTCCTGGGGGAAAGCCACAAGTGCATCACCTGTGGCCACGATCCCAGGCTCTGCCTCTGCCTGACGTCCTGGGCCAGGAAGATTGGGGGGCATATCACACATCCTGAACAAAACCAAAAGCTGAGTAGGAGGGCATCCTCTGGGATTTTCCTCTTAGTGTTACTTTTTTAGTTGATGTTTTGCATCAGCTAAAAGTAAAGCTAGTTTGCATTTCTTTCTTTCTTTTTTTTTTGGAGAGGTTTTTGCTATAGGGCGCGTGCGCTCTCCAGAAAGACAGAGGGAGACAGAGAGACAGAAAGCAAGAAATCACCCCCTGGAGTGATGGCTACGCTGCAATCCCTTCTCCTCCATTCTCCTCTCGGGATCTTGGGCATGCATGCACATGCACCAGGTCCAGGACTCGAACCGCGGTCAACTACATGGAAGTCCAGCGACACAGCCATTACACTAGCTGCTGGTCCCTAGCTAGTTTGTATTTCTAAAGGATGGTCTTGTGGTGGGGAGAGGTAGACTAGAAATAGGTTAGACTAGTTGACTTTGTAAAATTGGGGGTGGAGGGTGTCACTGGGACAGAGGTTCTTACTGCCTGGCTAATGCCTGAAATTCCACCTTTACCACATTGTCTTTGGATTCTGCTTGAATGCAAGTGTACCTGGAAAGGCCTATAACTTTAAGTATTTACTTGTCATCTATTTTTTCTTGTGAATGAAAGGTCTAAAGCTGAATTTGTTAGGAGAATTGGGAGGAAGAGGATGGATGGGACAGGTGCACACACACACACACATATATATATACACACACGCATAATTGCATACATCTTACAGATGCAAAGTCTTCAAGGCAGCGGTCGGTAGTGAGGGGCCTTCATCTGTCACCTCAACTCCATACTTGGCCTCCCTGATGGAAAACAAAGATCACTCTGTTGCTTTATTTTCAGGTTGAAACAATTGGTGATGCATACATGGTGGCTAGTGGGCTTCCCATCCGTAATGGAACTCAACATGTAGACCAGATTGCCACCATGTCCCTTCACTTACTCAGTACCACCGTGCACTTCCAAATTGGGCACATGCCTGAGGAGAAGCTTAAGCTCCGGATTGGTCTCCACACAGGTAGACAGAACTGATAATGGGTAGTCTTATGATCCAGGGATGGCCATAGCTATTTCTGAGCTTGAGTCCTAGGTTCAGGGCTTTTAGGAACTTGGGCATTGAATATAATATCTTCAGGAGTAACAAAGGTTGAGTGTTTTTACATGTGTTTTTCCATTAGCTTCATTGCTTAGTAACAACGAGGACACCCAATGACTTGAAAGTGTTGAACCAAAAATAAGAGGGAGACCAAGAACCAGGACAGTTATACCAAGACTACTTTCCTGGGTGTCTGCAACTAATGTCCTTTAATGTATTCCATGTTTTGTCAAAATCATGGGCATGTGACCTGTGCATAAGTGACCCACACTTGCTTTAACACTCTTCTATCATTGTCCTAAATTCATGTTTTAAAAACCTTTTTCCCCCCCAGAATGTGCATACACTCATTGGAGAGACAGAAAGAGAGGGAAAGTGAAAAATCACCTACATGAGGGATGGTCACACCACAATCTCTTCTCCTCCATTTCTCCTTTCAGGATTTTGGGCATGCAAATACAGGTGCCTTGTATGTTTTTCAAACTACCAGGTCCAGGACTCAAACTGTGCAGTTGACCATGTGGGATCCAGCCATCTTAACTCCTAGGCCATGGGGTGATTTGAAATTCTTAATTTTTGAATAAAGGATCCTATATTTTCATTTTGCATTGCAAATTATGTAGCCAGTCTTACCCTTATCTATCCTCCAATATTCAATTAAAATAAAACCTGATCCCCAATCAGAATGAATAATTCCCATGCTTGTGCTGTTATTGCTTTTATTTATAACTTTGCTTTATGAGTACCATGGTCAGTAATTGATTATGTCACTTTCTATCAGAAGTTTGTGGGTTCTGTAATTGTCTCTTTGTAAACCCTAAGACCTATTGCCAAGTTCTGTCCCAAGAGGGCTCTTAACCAATATTTGTAGAACTGCATTTGTTGACTTGATGTGCATGGTCGAATCTAACCTTGGAAATGCAGACTGGTTATGCCCTTCGGTTCTTCGCCCTTTAGGTCCTGTGGTGGCTGGTGTGGTGGGAACCACCATGCCCAGATACTGCCTGTTTGGAGACACTGTAAACATGGCGTCTAGAATGGAAAGCAGCAGTTTCCGTAGGTATCTTTACAACACTAGTAAACACAACACTGTCCCTCCTGTCCCCATCTTTCACCAGAGGGTATTTTTAGAAGACTAATTTACATTTTCTCTGCTGTTCTCCATCTGGAGGCTAAGATCATTATCCACTTCAGACAACACTAATTACAGGCTTTGTAAAAAGTTGTGCTCTCACTGGAGTCACATGAACAGTTGTGGCCTCCTCCTTCTAAGACTCTCCACTCAAACAGTAGACAAATATGTAGTAAAATCATTGAAATGCAGAGCAGGAGTCAGGAATTTTTTCTATACAGGGTCAGGCAGGAACTATTTTACATTTCATGAGTCATAGAGATTTCGTTGCAACTATGGAACTCTGTGCTATAGCTCCAAAGTAGCCATGGACAATATGTAAATGAACGGACATGGCTATGTTCCAATAAAACTTTATTTTTAAACATAGGAGTAGGTTGGATTTGACCCATGGGTGGTAATTTGCCCATCTCTGATGCAGAGTATATTCTTGGTGGTGCAGAAAAAAATCTAAGTCCAGGAACATCAGGCAAGGGAGCATCACATTCTTTGCTTGATCGTAATTTTACTGCATTGACTATTGCTAGACACGTATATGCCATTTTTTTCAGTTGAGAAAAAAGAATTACTCAATAATTTAAGTTTCAAAGAATTAAGATTAAAATTTGAGTTCATAAATTTCCCACGATATAAAAAAATGGAAAAATTTTCACTTCTGATTATTTTGTTGTTTATCAACTAAGTCTCAAACAGATTTAAATTGTCTCATCACTTGTAAATAAAGGTTTTCAGGATACATTTTGAAGGTGGGGCTGCTTTTGTAGGCCCCGAATTGGATTTAGTTGCATTTCTGGTTACACACAGCATTTGCTGTAACCCGTGGAGCCCAGTGAACCTCCATCTATGGGGATTAGCAACTTGATACTGAGTCTGTTCTGTCTCCTGTTTCTAAACGGAATGTTCTGAAGCTTGAGTAGCATCTGAGCAGTACCTGGGTGATTTGGGAAAGGAGTCCCAGACTTCAGAGAGGTTATCTGTGATTTATTTAATGGGAGGTCCTGGTGATCAGAGAACTTAAGCAGTGTAGGTTCCCGCTTTAAGTAGTCCCTGCCCCACTGCCATCTCATTGACAAGGGACTAACTAGGCAATGACTGGTTTGTGACAGCTCTCCGGATTCACGTCTCTCAGAGCACTGCAGGTGCCCTGCTGGCTTTGGGAGGATACTATTTGCGGAAGAGAGGCGTCATCTCAGTCAAGGTAAGACCAGCCAGCTGCATCTCACCTGACACATTTGGGGCTCTGTTGGGGACGCTGAGGAACTTGGTGGAAAAAGTGAATCTCCACAGAGTGGTATGTGAAGATCTAAGATCCCTCTGTCGGCTCTCCTGACTGCCAGGCCTTCTTTCAGAGAGAGGACCATCCAGTTCCCTCAAGTGGTGAAACATGGAATCTCTGGCCGCAAACACCCCACCTCCCACCTAGACCCATCCCTGTGGGATGCCTTTGTTTTCTCTACCACAAATAGTCCCCTGGCCTGGTTGAACATCCCAGCATGGTGTTCCACACAAAACATCAGTAAGACAAGCCCAGGAATTATATGTCTATCTTTCCTCCATATCTCTTTACCTGAGTGGCCTTGAGGGAGTAGGACCTCAGTTCTACACATTAAAAATCTCCCCTTTTCCTCTACCTTCTCCTTCATCCTGGCTTCAGTTTGTCTCTGAGAGGTGCCATGATACATCCCCATCATTTCCCTTGAGCTAACTCTTCCTGGAGCGGGAGGTTCTCCTTTTGAGGTGTTTTCTCAGGAACATCTGGAGATGTTCATAGTAGGAGTGCTGAGTGGTTGCTATGACACTGGGTATTTGACTGAGTGTGGGGGTCCAGAAAAATAAAGCGGAGGGAGTGGCATCAATTCCCCAGTTTGCTGAGCCTGGCCCTGGCATACTTTATATCATCAGTTGACTTCAGAAAAGGGAAAGAATTCTCTAGAAGGCAGCAGTGTAGACCTAGCTTGGAACCCTGTCCCACAACTTACTAGATGTATGATTTGTGGGCTTGGTTTCATTAAGTGTAAATAGAGGTGGTAATAATATTACTCTCTAATTAAATGTTAACATGTTTGTGAGGGACTTCACCTGATGCCCAACTCATAATAAGAGTTGAATAGATTTCATTTTAGAATATATATATATATAGGGAACCAGCAGTTAGCGTAATGGCTATGTCGCTTGACTCCCACGTAGTCGACCGCGGTTCCCGTCTTGGACCCGGTGGCTTAAAACCCACGCTGGGTGCATGTGCGTGCGTGCCCAGGATCCCGAGAGGAGAATGGAAGAGAAGGGATTGTGGCGTGGCCATCCCCTCTGGGGGGTGATTTCTCGCTTTCTGTCTCTCTGTCTCTCTTTGTCTGGCGAGCGTACACGCCCTATAGTGAAAAACCTCTCAAGAAAAAAAATAGTGGAATTTCTGGAGTTCATAGTAATCCTAAATTTTCAGGAGCCACCGTATCATTTTCTGTAACAGCTACACCATCTTACAGAACTTCAAAAGATATTTGTACACCGCATTCATAGCAGCATTATTAGCTATATTCAAAACACAAAAATGTAAATATCTATGGACACAAGAATGAACAAAATTTGGTATATACATAAATAGAATATAATTTAGCGTCTAAAAAATTGAAATTCTAAGACATGCTTCATCCTGGAGACTTTATCCCCAGTGAAATAAGCTGGACACTAAAATAAAAATATTGCTTGATTAAGTTTTTTTTTACAAAAAACTTTAGTCTCCACTGTCCCTTACCAATTATAACATTGCTTGCTGTCTTGATAGCAGAGCCTAAACAAATCATCAATATTTCTCCTATAAGGAGGCCTTATCGGGCCTATCCCAGCAGGCACATCAGACAGACATTGGCTCAGGTCAGAGACCACGCTTCACAGGCAGCCTCCCACTCCACCCCCTGCTCTGTGGTTCTCTGGGCCTTCCTTTGTCTCTCACAGGGCAAGGGAGAACAAACAACTTTTTGGTTGAAAGGCAAAGAGGGCTTCACTATTCCACTACCTGAACTCACTGAGGATGAAGATAAAGACACAGAAATATTATGAGGTGGGTATTTTCTTTCTAGATGTTTACAATCACATAAAATTCTATGGGGACCTTTCTTTTGGGACACATTGAATATCCCAGCTGAGAGTGGTAGCTCTGGGATATTGAGTGAATCTCCCACTAGGGGGAGCCATCCAGCTGGCCTCTTCTTCCTAGCCCTGCCTTTGTGCTCAGCCTGGGGATCTGAGTAGATGAAGACTTTGTTTGAACTGAATAGGGTGAACTAATTTCCTGGGAGTCCAGGGTTTGGCCTTTGCTCCTAGCTCTGTGGAACTTGGTTTTTAATCTGCCAGTGAGCCTGCCCTGGCTGCCAGAAATTTCCAGCCCATTAACTCATGAATTTGTAGTTTTACACCCAATTAAAACCCAATTTTATTTGAGGAGAAGAAAGGGGAGAGAATGAAGCATGAGGCCACAGACACCCCTCACCACCACCACCACCTTTTCTTTGCAAGGTCACTGAGTCATAACCCTTAATGCTTATTATCCTTATAGTTAGTGCTTGTAAAGAGATAAGAGCCTGAATCAGAAGGCATCTCAGAAATGTGTTCAGGGGGAAAAGCTCTAAGGTACCAGCAGGCCCTGAAATCCAATAGGACTGAGGCATACGGGCCCATTGTACGTATGTACCAAAACACCACACTGTCCCCTGTCAACATGCATAGTTATTACATGCCAATTTAAAAAGAGAAATTAAAAAAAAAGAAAACAAACAGACCAATTAGATAGGCCAGCTGCAGTCTCGTAAAAGACTGGTCCTGAGCCCTGAATTCCTGTGAACACTATAGCTTACACATGGGTAGTGTTCTGTTCTTTATTACTTTATTTTTTTTCCACCCACTGGAAAAAAAAAAATTCTTGCAGTTAAGGATGGACTTTTAAGAAGAATTTGTTCATTCACTTATAAAGAATTTAATTTTAAAAATTTCAGCAAGCAAAGATTAACTTATTCATTCCTGCTGTGACTTTTTCCTTCTTCACAAAGAATAGGATTCCATGTTGTTTTATGCCATGGTCCTTTTATGAGATTGACTGAACCACTAATGCATTTATAGTAGTATTTCATGTCCTCCAACTGCTCTCATCCAGGAATTTTCCGTAGGGTTGATCCTGAATATGGCAGAGCAATTGGAGTGAAACATCCCCTGCCCCCGACTGAAGAAGAGCAAACCTATGAGACGGGGAATATTTTCTTTCTTGCTAGAGCCTCTAACTGCCTTTGTGGAGCTATTTTTAAAGTTCTGTATTAGGAAGTAAGCTACTTTTCGGCTTATTGAAGGTCTTTTACACCAAATCTTACCAAAGGTTTGGTAGAATTTTTGCCTTTCTTCGGGAAGAGGGACACTAGCTCAGAGTCAAGGGAAGTGTGTTCACATCTCATATAATCCCATCTTCATTGAGTTTCTAAGCATTTCCATCAGCAATATTTCTTCTCCTGCCCAGAGGTAGCTGACTGAATTCTACGATCTCCCAGACTCCATCTTCTTTAATCCAGTTCTGTTTCCATTGTAGACGCTGCTCCTCTCCAAAAGCCTCCAGTCCTTGGTGCTTTAGACCGATGCATGAAAGGGGGGAAGTCAGGAAGTGTAAAGGGGCACAGGGAAGGTTTCTCTTGATACTCCAGCATGGAGACAATGGGCCAAAATGTATCTTCTCGTGCTCTGTAACTTCTTCCCTTTTTCAGTATCATGGCTTCCGGATCCCAAACACCTTGCTTAATTGTGAAAGAAAATAAGCCTCCTTCTGCTTCTGAGGACTAGTGAGATGAGCCAGTCCCCACCTATCTATTCATCCATCCACCCCTCTACCTCTCTACCCATCCAGCCGTCCAGCCAGCCAGCCATATAAACATTTCATCCACTCAAGGTGCATTTAATTAAACACTTACTCTGTGCCAGCTACCTTGCTGGGGGACAGAAAATATGAAACCTTCCTGGTAGTTTAGTTGGAGAGAAGGAAGCACTGAGAGTAATAATATAATATTAGAGATCAATAGAATTCTATACTAAAGTATAGAGGTTACAAAGTAACTCAGTATTGGTTCATTAAAAGGATATTAGAAAATGATATACAGACATAGGAATGGGATCCTAAAAAGAATTGGCTATTATTATCCCCTCTTTGTATTTGCGTATGCATGTTTCCTTCTAATTCTAGCCCACACGCTTGCATAAGTTATGTTTATGTAATAAAGACTTTGTTACTTCTGCCTTTCTTCATTGAACATTATAACATATATTTGGCAGCCTGAATATACACAGAAAATATACACATCTGATAAACAGACAGCCACATGCACATGTGTGCACATATATATTGGGTTGTTGGGAAAGTCGTGAAGTATTTTTCTATGAAAAAAATGTATCATGACTTTCTCGACAAGCCAATACATACATACACACACCCATACACTCATATATGTACATATCCATAAACACACACCCATGTGTACAGGTATATGGAGAAAGAGAGTCTTTAGGTATCATCATCAGAAATTTTTTTTAGAGAAATTTTTGCCATAGGGTGCATATGCTTGTCAGAGAGACAGAGAGACAGAGAGACAGAAAGCAAGAAATCAGCCCCACCAGGGGGTATGGCCATGCCTCAGTCCCTTCTCCTCCAGTCTTCTCTTGAGATTTTGGGAACACACACACACACACACACACACACACACACACACACCCCTGGTGTTTCTTTTTTTTTTCTTTTTTTGGAGAGGTTTTTGCTATAGGGCGCGTGCGCTCCCCAGACAGACAGAGAGAGACAGAGAGACAGAAAGCAAGAAATCACCCCCCAGGGGGGATGGCCACACCGCAATCCTTTCTCCTCCATTCTCCTCTTGGGATCTTGGGCACGCACGCACACGCGCCCGGCGTGAGTTTAAGCCACCGGGTCCAGGACTCAAACTGCGGTTGATTACGTGGGAGTCCAGCGACATAGACATTACGCTAACTGCTGGTCCCCCCCTGGCATTTCTTAAGCCTCCAACTCCACTCTAGGACTTGAACCACAGTTAACTATGTGGGAGTCCAGTGAGGTAACCATTACGCTATCTGCTGGTCCCCATAACCAGGAATTCTGATAAGAGCAGTTTCCTAAAATTCTATATCCAGTGGTTTTTTTGTTGTTTTTAGTTTTTTTGCCATAGGGCGCGTATGCTCACCAGAGAGAAAAAGAGAGAGTGAAAGTGAGAAATCACTTCCTAGCGGGATGGTCATGCTGCAATCCCTTCTCCTTCATTCTTCTTTCAGGATTTTGGGCATGCATGCATATGTGCCTGGTGTGACTTTTCAAGCCACCACATCTGGGACTTGACCCTTGGTGGGCCATGTGGGAATGCACAGCCTAACCACCATGACACCTGCTGGCCTCTACCCAGTGCTTTTTATATGTCAATAGGATACCTAAAAGAAAATGTGCTTTTCCCTTTTCTCTTAATGTCTTTTTTGTTTTTTAATGCCATAGGGCATGTGTGTGCATGAGAGAAAAAAAGAGAGAGAAAACACACCCCCAGTGGGGCCTAATTAAGCCTCAGTCCTTCCTTCTTCCATTCTCCTGTCCCATCATGATCCGGATCCTGCATGCATATGCCTGGTATGCTTTTCCTTTTTTTTTTTTTTCCAATAATTATTTATTTAACTTTTTTTCTTTCTTTTTCTTTCTTTCTGTCTTTTTCTTTCTTTCTTTCTCTTTCTTTCTTCTTCTTTCATTTGACCTGGGGGCAGGGGAAGGAGAAAGCAAGCCACTAGGTCCAGGACTCGAACTTTGGTCAGCCATCTGGGAGTCCAGTGCCTTTAACCACCATGCCACCTGCCAGCCCCCTGGACTGCTTTTCAAGCCTCTGAGACCAGGATTTGAACTGTGATCAGCCATGTGGAATCTGGCCGCCTCTGCACGTGCTCAACCTCTGCACTTCGAGGCCAGCCTTTAATGTCTATTTTATGTTTAGCACTAATGAGAATTTATAAAAGAGATTGTTTTGAGAATACTTTCTCTTAATTCCTTAATAGAGAAGTTATGAGACAGAAAGGACTACGAATCATGGGGCTGTTAGTTAACTTTAAGTCAAAATACATTCAGTTACTGACAAGAGACATTAGGGCTTTACAGACAAGGATGACCCAAGAGATATTTTCCCCAGATGTCAATCATACAAAATGGCTTTACCTCCTTGTGCCCAAAACTCAACACCTGAGTTTGGGAAATGTAAATATAGGACGCTGGGTTGTCAGAAAAGTCATAATGTATTTTTTTCTATGTAAAATGCATCATGACTATTCCAACAACCCAATAGAATGATTGAAAGTGCGTGGTACATATGAGTCTGAGAAGTTCTAGTTGTAGAAACCCCTAGGAGGGTTGAGAAATGAGCTATCAACATGATCCATTAACTCTGTAAACTGCAGTCATAGGTTATTTGTTTTAAGACATTTTATTTATTCCATAGCACCAAGTAGGGATACAAGATCATAAAACACAATGATAAAATAAAGCAAAACTAAGACAACATTGTTTACTCTGTCAGCTAAGGATTTATGAACATGGCTAGGAGTATGATATTGAAGAGTTTTTGACTAGTTCCAATAAAATGTCTTCTGTCCTTCCTGACTATGAAATGAAACTCTGAATTTACAGAAAGAAGAGCTTCTGAGCTGATTGGAGCACCAGTTTAGAGACCAAGTTGAGATTACAATGAGTCATTTTACTCTAGCTTACTGTTAAACAAACATGTATTTCATGTCTCTAGAGATTGGACAACTAGTTTAATTTTTGAGTTCACTTATACAAATTATAAGAGAGCTATTAAGCTACAGATCTCAAAAGTTCTCAAATACCTTAAATACCAAAGTTTTGTTTTAAATCATAAGACCACTAATTAAGTCTTACATGACTAAAGAAAACCTCATCCTATCACACTCCTGCCTATTCTCTATCAGAATTGGTTCATTCCATTTTAATGTTGTTGACAATGAAAATCACTGGTAGTGGCGTATTCACTGAGGTGACCATGGGGATATACATGACTTCATGCCCATGTTTGCATTTGTGTTTCATTTTTTGTTGGTTCTATTCTTTTTCTTTTTTCTTTTTTTTTTTTTTTTGAGAGGTTTTTGCTATAGGGCACGTAAGCTCGCCAGAAGACAGAGACAGAGAGACAGAAAGTGAGAAATCACCCCCTGGGGGGGATGGCCAAGCCACAATCCCTTCTCCTCCATTCTCCTCTTGGGATCTTGGGCACACACGCACACACGCCCAGTGTGAGTTTAAGCCACCAGGTCTGGGACTTGAACCACGGTCGGCCACATGAGGTCCAGTGACAAAGCCATTACACCAACTGCTGGTCCCTGTTGGTTCTATTCTAATGGTTGTAAGTTAATGATTCAAAATCCGATAAGGCTTTGACTGTTTAAGTAAAAGCTAAGTGAGTTCTGGCCATTTGGTATAAATGAAGATTTCTTAGTAGAGCAAATAGAGAGGAATATTGTTAACATCGATGTTTGCTGAGTTCAGAGAACTTGTGTCATGGGTGTCACACCATAGTCATGTTGCCAGCTGCAGTTTCACTTAGATAATGCTACATTATTCTGCTAAATTAATGTGCTATTCTTTTTGTAGTTCATTTATGCTTAACTTGTAATTTTATTTTGATCTTAGAAGTATAGATCAGCTATCTAAATAAGGAGCTCATACCTATGTAATGTGTATGTATACTTAAAAGCCCCTATAATAAAAATAAATTGAGTTAATGTTAGAGACTCTCAAGAATCTCTTTCCTGTATGTTACTCAGGTTTGAGCAAAATTCCACTTTGAATCCCACATTATCTCCCACGTCATCCTTTGAAATATTGGAACCCCTGCCTGAAGGCTCTGCTCTGGTCCTTAGGTAAAATTACACAGCTCAGATGACAAAGCCCCTTTCTGGCAAAATTGACTATTCCTGTGCATTCTGTATTTAGAACCCTCTGTGGTTATGCCCTACATTCTCCTCAGAATGCCCAGCTGCACCTGGTTGGGAGTGCTAATCTTTTAAACTTAGAATAGCTTTCAAAGGAGTCCACTGCCTCCTTGGCTTGGGTCTGAGGAGAGGAGACTCCTCCCCCAGCTTCAGGAGGAGGACTTCAGGATCGAAGGGCCATGGGAAGTAACAAGGGGAGGTGGGGCACGGAAGAAAAAGGATCACCGAATTCGCAAAGATCATTGGAACACGTACTTGGCAAAGCACTGGTCTCTGCTTCCCGACACTGTGGGCTTCTGAGAGTTCTATTTGGCAGCACAATAAACATGAGCCCGTCATTGGCCGCAGACGCCCTTGGGTGGAGGAGCTGCAGCTGCCTGCCTGCTAAGTCCTAGAGGACAGCACACATCCCCAGCATCACGACGAGGTGGGAGAGAACATCTGCGAACCAGAGCAGGCAGATGGCACTCAGCAGTAGCTCTCTGCAAGGGCAGGCACACCTCAGAGTCCACACAGGGGTCAACCCAGGGGTCTTAGGGAGGATTCCAGAAAACTGCACATTTACTCTGAAGTCGATTTTGTTTACCCCTGGAGGGTTCTGTAGTTCTGTTTTATCAGTACCAAGAGTTGGATGGCTAAACCTACATTATGGACCTCTGACAGTTGGGAATCGGAGTGACGCCACCATGGTGCGTTTCACTTTTGCTGTAGAATTTCCTTTAAATGTGAAAACCTAGGATTGGCATTTGAAAAGTTGACTTACATGACATTCCTGCAATTGGGAGAGCAAAGACTGTGTCTGTGAGTTTATTCATAAGTGGAACTGGCTGGCCTCACCTCCCCACATCTGTGTTCTCACCATTCAGGTGAGATCCTGTGTCTTAGTGGAAATGTTTCTTCCTCTAAGGGGCCTCCCTGGCTGCTCTCTAATCAGGGCCACAGTCTCCTCCACACACAAGGAGCTATCCTGTTCACAGCTGCGGCCACGATGCCTAGAACAGTGCCTGGTACAGTGATTGTGTTTATGGCTGACCCTAACCGGATGTTTGCTGTGCCCTGGACATTTTTCAGTGCCCTTCTCTTTAATTAAGTCAGCCATACAACAGCCATGTAGGATAGGGCATTAGCCCAATCTTAGAGAGGAAATGGAAGTATGGAGGAGTGAGGGCATTGCCTGGGTTCACTCAGTGACTGAGGGGCAGAGCTACAGCAGGGACTCAAATATCTATTGGATGAATGGCTCCTTTAAGAAGCAGGGTCTCCAAATACAGGAAGCCAAGCAAAGCCACCTGTGAAGGCTTTGCTGCGACCTGGTGGAGCCAGTTCCGGTTCCGGTTGTTCCATCGTATCCCCAGCTCCTCCCTGTCTTCAGAGCTCAGGGCTGGTTGGAGGGAGACTGCTCAACCTGCTTTGCCCTCTGCCCCATTTGAGTGTGTTTAAGGTGTTATTTTCAATTCTTAAAGATTTTACCGAGGCCAAAGGTAAGTTGCTGCTGCTTTTATTATTATTTAAAAATTATTTTTATTTAAGTTTTTGCCATAGGGTGCCTGTGCTGGCTAGAGAGAGACTGAGAATAAGAAGGAAAGTGATAAGGAACCTCCCAGGAGGATGGCCACACCACAATCTCTTCTCCTCCCCTCCCCTCCCCTCTCAGGATTTTGGGCATGCATGCACACACACACGGCGTGAGTTTCACCCCTAACATGCAGTCGGCCATATGGAATCCGGCTGTCTCTACCACCGCACCCTTTGCTGGCCTTGGTAAGCTTCTTCCTAAACACACACTTGCCTTTCTAAAGCATTGCCCCATGACATTCCCCAGAGGTGTCTCTTTTGCTTACCTGAGAAGCTATAGAGACTGGAATATCCCCTGCCTGTAGTGATTGAGGAGAAAACACAGAAGGTTTAAGACAAGACCATGGCAGAAGTCTCAGAGCTGTGCTTCTATCACACAAACCTGACTGTATCTTCCCCCAGCAAACCAGTGGCCTCCCCACTGCTCTTAGGACAGAGTTTGTACCTGGGTTTTCAAAGGCTTCTTCTCACACCATTTTCGCCCTGGCTTTCTGAGGTAAGGGATGGTGAACTTTCAGGGAAAGCCAGGCAGCAAATTCTTTAAGCTTTGTGGGCCACACAATCTTTCTTCCCCACGAATCCCAACGGCTGTGGCTGTTTGAATGCAGCCGTAGACAACACCTGACTGAATGAGTTCGCTGTGTTCTAATAAAACTCTCTTATAGGCACTGAAATCCGAATTTCACATGATTTTTTCTGTGTCATGAAATACTGCTCTCTTTTGCCCTTTTTTTTTTTTTTTTTTTTGAACCACATAAAAATATAAAAACTGTTCTTAGTTTGCAGGCCACACAAAACCAGGCAGCAGGCAGCCTGGGAGTGGATCTCAGCAGTTGTTCAGTAACTGCGCTCTAAGCAGAGCTGCTAAAACCCCATCTTCCTATTCTTGGTTACAACATCAAGTCACACCTTCCTTCAGGCCAGGTAATACTTAACGTTCTCGACAGTCTCTCACAAGCCCGAGCTAGGGTCTACCCGCTTGCCATATACTCCCATATGCACCCTGCCCGCCCCACTCCACCATCCCTCCCTGGCTAAATGCTAAGTTCTGTGAAGAAAGTGCCCGCTTGGGTCTCACTTATTTCTGAAACTCCAGTGCCCAGCCCAGGCACAGTGCTAGACACTCAATAAGTTTGTTGACTTGCACATGACCTTCCCAGGATAGCTCATTTCTATTATCACTACTCCCTGCTGCTCTTTGGGGAAGCCCAGCACTTCCTCATTTCTTGAGGCCAATGAGATTTAGGTCTCAGGACTTTCTGGGGGTGGGAAGGGGGCCTCAACAAACCTCAAGTCCTTGGTTTGGCCTGGGCTGCTCTCCGCCCACGCCCACGGAGGGAAGACGAGAGGCAGGAGCAGGTGAAGGTTGTGCCTACAGGCACGACTGGTTTGGCAATTCAGTCAAAATGCTCAAACCGGCTGTGCCTGTAGACGCAGCCCAGAGTGACCTTGAGCTTTTGGGAAACAGGGAGGCTTACTCCGCAGAGAGAGCTCCACCACCAGGACGCCACCTGTCTGGTCCCGCAGAAGGCGCTTCCGTTTGTCGCAGTTCTGAAGACCCCAGGAGAACGGAGTGGGGGAGGGGTTTGAGAATGGAACCAAGGGGAGAGAAGAGAGCGAGAGAAGAGATTTGGAAAAAAAAAAAATCTTTCAAAAAAAAGTCACAAACTGAATGGCATCAAAGTCCTCAGTAATTAGACATTGTTTATCTTATTTCTTTTAGAATCTGGTTACTTTATTAACTGTCACTCTGGGTGGGGGGGATTGACACTTTTTGATAAGGAATAAGGCTTTTACTTACAGTTACTCTCATCTGATTTGAGAAGGGGCACTTGCAAAATATATTCTGGTTATTTTCTTTCTTTCCTTTTTTTTTTTTAAGGTTTTTGCCACAGGGCATGTGTACTCACCAGAGAGAGAGAGAAAGAGACAGTGAGAGGGAAGGTGAGAAATCACCCCCCCAGGGGGGATGACCACACAGCAATCCCTTTCCTCCATTCTTCTCCTGGGAGTTTGGGCACACAGGCACGTGTGCCCAGTGTGAGTTTCATGTCACCGGGTCCAGGACTCAAATCACAGTTGCTCATGTGGGAGTCTAGTGCCTCAACCACCACACCACTGCTGGCCCTCTTCTCTTCCTTTTTAAATGTGATGTTGATGCTCGTCCTCTGATCAACCATAAAATGCCTCTTCTGTCCTATTGCTGCTTTGTACCCTATGGTTCTTTCCCCTTTTTCTATTTATGCACATAACTGCCTTCTTTCTTTTTTTCTTTTTCCAAATAAATCAATAGAAATAAGATTATAACCTTATTTTTCGTGGGCTATATGGGCAGGTAGCCTCTTTGAAAACAATGAAGTTCAGTATAAATAGACCAGAGGGGATTATAGCTAGGGTTCAACTTATAACTTTCTAAGGTGGTCTTTCCCAAATTTGAGCATCAGAATCACACATAGGACTTGTTAAACCATCGATTGCTAGACCTTCTACTCACACAGTCATGTAGGCCTTGAATTTCTGCAGCATCTCTGAATGTGCAGCGACAGACCCTCGGGCTGTCCATTCAAGACTGAAAATACCCACCCCTTGAGTTATGTGAATTTCCCTTATACTTTTAAACTTTTTCAAGGTATTTCCATAGCTGTTAAATGCTCTCTGTTTACCTATCATTGCTCTCTGAAAGGGGAAGGGACATCATTGTTTATCTTCGCTGTTTGTGAAGCTGAGAAAATCAGGCCCCAGCAAGTTAAGAGGCCCATGCCAGACCATGTAGGTTGTTGGCAGCAGGGTAGACAAGGCCTGGAACATCTGCCCCTATGCCCAGTTTCCTTTCCTCCAGAATGCCCTCAGCACACAGCTACGTCGGCCTATAAAGGATTTCCTGGTTCAAATACAGTTGCTTAAACACTGGCCCCTTGGGGTAACATTCTCCTTCCAGAGAGACGCAGCTCACCACTGGGCAGGAGAGCTTCTCACTGTCACAGATGAACGTCTCACAGTGTAGCCAAACCTTGGAGAGTTTGGGGATGTTCTGGAACCGGAAAGCGTTGAACTGGAAGGTCGCCCTGTGGTCTTTCCCATTCTCATGCACAAGGACCGTTTCATCTGTGGGGCAGCTGAAGAATACAGGGGAAGGGAGAATGCAATGTCACCTCATTAAACCGCAGCAAGGGCTTCAGAGACAGTTACACACGGTGACAGTCCTGTGTCTCACAGAGCTTTCCCTTCTGGAGCACGTTGGCAGATCCTCACTGATCCTTGTAACGATGAGGTCAAGTCAAAGAGCTGTGAGATGGCTGTAATTCTACTCTATTCAAAGCACGGCAGGAGGAAAGTGACTTATGAGAAGCCACACACACATCTCTGTCCTTAAAAAGTGAAATCCCTAAGATAAAACCCTCCTGAGGACTAGGCTATGTACAGACCCCCAGGGTAATACAAGACAAGGACCATGGTGCTGGGAGCAGCATTTCCCACTGTTGCCAAAGTTGCCTAAACTCATGTCATGCCCAACACATTTCTGTGTGTGTCTTAGGAAGCTTTACCAGTGGAAAAATCGAATTTATGCTGCGTTATTAAAATTACTCACATATTACAGAATTACCTTTGTAAACATGTTATATTTTTACTAAACAGTCAGGAAAAAGAAATAACTGGAAGGGTACATGTAAATGCATTTTTACTGAAGTAGAGGTAGGATCTTAGGATCTCAATGCTGTTGGTGAAATGAGGAATAAATGCTCTGCTTTTGTATCTGGACCAGGAGTCAAAGCTGGTTCTGTTTGTGGTGGCCTCTGAGCAATGTTGGAGCTGTGAGCATTTCCCAAGTTATTATGGACTGAGCCTCTTGCAGGATCACTTGGTCAATAAATGAGATCCTTGTATGAACTCAAGACTGAGTCCTTAAAATAGCTCTTTACAGCTGAGTGCCCAGGCATGGTGTCAGCCAGTGGAAAATCATGTAAGCAGAGCTTTGTCAGGTGTGAAGAGAAGGCAAAAAATATGGGCAGGCCTGAACGCCTTGGCTCTGCTGCCTCTTGGCAGCCCTCAGTAACAGCTACCTGGGGATGGTGGTACCCCCCCCCCCCCCCCCCCCGGGAACTTCTCACATTGCCACACGAGTCTCCTTTTCTACACAGGTCACCCTTTGAGATGGGGGTTCTATTTAGATGTACTCATCTGGTAGTATATATCTCTACTGTAACTGCCCAGAAATTCTTGGTTTTCTTCCAAAAGGACCTGGTGGGAGCAAAGTGCCTTTGGGAGATTGTGGGCATAAACTTTCCGATTCTATTTTTTTGGAGAGGTTTTTTGCTATAGGATGTGTGTGCACAACAGAAAGACAGAGAGAGACAGAGAGACAGAAAGTGAGAAATCACCCCCCAGGGGGATGGCCACTCTGCAGTCCCTTCTTCATTCTCCTCTCAGGATCCTGGGCATACATGTACATGCGCCCAGCGTGAGTTTAAGCTACCGGGTCTGGGACTTGAACCGTGGTTGATTACATGGGAGTTCAGCGACATAGCCATTACACTGATCTCCCGATTCTTTTTGGCACTGGTTTTGTGCATGTAGCTCCAACCTCACGGTGCTATGTCAGTTGGGTAGAATTCAGAAATTGACCAGGGCTTCTAAAATTTGGCTGCAATGCAGAGTTCCAGGGTTCACCCAGAGACCTTCTGGTTTGGTTTGCAGTGTGCCTGCATGCATAACAGGACCCTGGGTAATTTGTGTATACACTAGAGTTGGAGGACCACTTGTGCAAACTACCCAAACCACAGGCCTTCCTTGTTCTGCCATATTACACGTGTCAGGTGGGAGCAACAGCACCAGGACTGTGTGTAGGGAGATGAGTCTGACAATGGAGGGAACTTTCAACTTGTGTGACCATTGCCTGAGAGAAGTTCCCACTGCCTGATGGTAATTTTAAGTCCCTAAAGGTCAATAATTTATTTCAAGATCCCTGAAATAAATCTAATTGCACCATTGCCACAGAACCTAAATGAATCAAATGATTCCATGGACCTGTCTAAGCCTGTTTTCTCATTTATAAAATAATTACCATTACACTATTTACAGGAGGTTTAATGAAATTTAAATATTTGAAAAGCACTCATCTAAAACAATGCCTGGTATGTCGTCAACACTCTCTTAATGTTTGTTAAATAAAAATACTTAAAGGTCCAAGATTGCTCTACCTTAGCTATCTGTTTACCTTATTCTGGGTTCTGCTGATGACATGGCCACATTGGTCTGCCGAGATTCAGAGAATGGCCTCTTTTTCACTTACTGTTATTAGTGTAAGTGATGCCCACATCTCCAGTCCTGCTTAATCTCGCTTTGTTTTCCACAGTTACCGTTCTAAGGACTTCTGAACAATGGTCTTCTCAAGCTTACCATGTCTATCCCTGTGCTAGGAAAATTCAGATCCCCTTATCCAGAAGGCCCCGCTCCCAGCAGGCAACAACAAACAGTTCCCCAGCTTCCTGCTACACAGAGTTAACAGTGCAAAGCCATCTTTGACACATGCTCCTCAGACTTCTTGTGCAGTCCTTCACTCCACCCCATATCCAGTTAGTTCTGAAAGTGTTCTCACTCCCGCAGGAGTTTCTCCCTCCCTCTGATGACCTTTCCAGTCCCTTGGCTACAACATCTATTTGGGTCTTATTACCTCTGCTGCAATGCCTGCCTACACCTCTGGTCTTTCCGCCTCCAGTGCACTGTTTCTTAGTCACTCTATGTCTGACTTCCAGAATCCCCTTGCTATGGTGAAATTCTAATACTTCAGTCCTCTACTCCAAATTTAAGAGCACTCCATTGTCTACTGAGTTAATAATAAAAACAATGATTTTATTTCAATTGACTGGTTACTGACTAGGTACCATCTGCTAAGTTTTTTATATGTATTATCTAATTTAGTACTCACTGTATTTCTGGTGTTGAGTTAATTGACTTTAAACCCTGCCTGCCCACTTTTCCATAAACACATATACACACGCTTATGATGGGACATGACTTATCCTTCCCTGTGCCTCAGTTTCCTCATTTGCAAAGTGGGGAGGATAGTAATTATACTTTCCTTGCTGTAAGACTTAAATGAATCAATATAAGGTGAAGCTCTTGGAACTGGCAGGTGATGTGGTGGTTGAGGATGCTGGACTCCCACATGGCTAACTGTGGTTTGGGTCCTAGACCTGGTGGCTTGCTTTCTTACTTTCTCTCCCTCTCTTTCTCTCTGGTCAAATTAAAAAATAAATAAATAAGGTTAAATAAAATAATTCTTTAAAAAAAGAAATATTAATATATATGTACATGTATGTGTGTATATATAGGTATATATAGGTATGTATATATAGTAAAGCTCTCAGAACACTACCTAGAAAACATTATGTAATTTTTCCTCGTATGAGCACTTAACCTGAAAACACAGAGGGTATCTCTGCTGTACCTAAGCAGGCTCCACCTCTTCTTGCCAGTCTCTAGCCAGAGCAAGGTTGTAGGATGTACCCACACGGCTCAGCCTGGTTTTACGGTGAACCTACCCTTTGTTGATCAGCTGCCACTGCAAGGGATACATGAAGTCAGCCGAGGGTGTGGCCCAACAGCTGTTCAACACCACTTTAAACCTAGAAATACAACAAAACAGCGTCACTTTGAGACGGTTAGTTCATGCCTAGAAATAGGTGGTAATTAGGGACCAGCAGATGGTGTAATGGCTATATCGCTGGACTCCCATAGAGTCGACCGTGGTTCAAGTCCCAGACCCTGTAGCTTAAACTCATGCCAGGCATGTGTGTGTGCGTGCCCAAGATCCCAAGAGGAGAATGGAGGAGAAGGGATTGTGGCATGGCCAACCCCCCTGGGGAGTGATTTCTCCCTTTCTGTTTCTCTGTCTCTGTCTTTCTGGTGAACGCGTGTGCCCTATAGCAAAAACATCGGAAAAAAAATAGGTGGTGATTAAAAAATGTCTCAGCTATTCTTTTTTTTTCCTTCTTTGTACTGAAAAACATAAACAGAGAGGACATGTACTCACCTGATGCTTAACCCTTTGGCTTCTACTCCTGCAAACAGATCTGAACCAATTTCGGATGTCTCCAGAACAAAGGGGGCTTCCTTCTTGGTGGAGAACTTGGCATTCTTTGGAAGGAAATTAACACTGGGCATTATGACCTCTCAGACTGAGCAGTTAGGGCTGGCAGGAGCAAATGAATTGGGGTAGGGGGGAGAATCAACCCAAAGGCACAAGGCATGTGAGACCGTGAGACTGTATCATCTAAAATGCTCATGCCATGTTCCTAGGGACAATAATATCACAGATTTGAGATCTTCTGGTCATGGTGAGACACACTGTGTTTGATCTATGGCAATAGGATTTAACTGATGAAAAAAAAGTGGAATTCAGGGATATTGAGGTGCTATACTGTTTTTTACTAAATCACCTAAAGACATGGAGACTGAACACATAACGTCCCTCTGTGCGTTTGCTCATGTCTAGATTTTCCCAAGAAAACTTGGAAAGTTTATGATTTGATTCCCAGTACAAGTAACAACATCAACAATAACCACCACAACTTGTAGATTACCTACTATGTGTTAGACACTGTTTTGTATATTGGGATTGTCTTTATGTCAAGATACTCTGGATAGTGAGATACATTGGTTAAAAAAAACTCTCTAATGATCTTATATTCTAGCAGAGGAGAGAGACATTAGACAATAAATAAGAAAAGCATAGTATTTTAGAATATGGTACATTGTCTAGAAAAGCTGTAAAATACATAGAGTTGGGCAAAGTGGATTGGGAATGTGAGGAGGGACAGATTGCAATTTTAAATACAGTGACTGTGAGGTCAAATTAATGACATGATACTGGGGCAAGACTTGAAGAAAGGAAAAAAGGAGGCCATCCAGCCAACCAGGGAAGAGTGCTTTGGTCAGAGTAAAGGTCCTGGGGGAAGAGTGTGGCTGACAGGGCAGCATGGAGCCAGCAGGGCTGGCACAAGTGAACAACCTGGGCTGGAAAGTCGGGAGTGGGACAGGAGGTGAGGGTATGGGCGGGTGGATCAGAAAGACTGGGGCTTCGACTTTGAATGCAATGGCAAGTCAACGCTACAATTTGAGCGCAGGCATGGCAGGTTCTGATCACTGGCTTGGCATGTGTGGCCTTCATTTGCCATCTTTATCAGACAGGTCTGGGTGAGTTCTTAGGAATGAAACAGGATTTTCAGTTGACTTACCCAAAGGAAGGTGATTACTCCATTCTCTGAGTCTTGAGTTCATTCAACTCTAGTAACAACCTTGAACTACTTTCTGGATTTAGCCTCCAGAGACAAAAGTATTCTGGTGGAATAGCATGGATTCTGAACTAACCCTTGCTCCTATCACTAACTTGAGATACACTATGGGTAAATCAACCTTTTTGGGCCTCAGTTTCTCTGTTTGAAAAATAGGAATAACTTTTGTGATTATGTAATAAGGAAAATAAAGCTTAGACCAGGATACTATTGATATTTAAAAGTTTGAGTTTAATGGGCTTAGAGATTTGCAGAAGTGCAATCGTTAGACAGTGGCACAGAACTGATGTTCAGCTAGGATATTTAGTAAAAGTGGACTTCTGTCTTGTAAAGGTCAAATATACAGGAACTTTGCTGAGAGGATTCATAATTCCTTTCACCTCTTTTACTAATTGCAGGTCCAGTCAGGGCTCCCTGACTCAGTCACCTAGAAGTCAATTGACTGTTTTCCCTCCATTTGTCAAGTTCCTGCACCATTTAAATGGTTGCAGTAATCAAATAATAGAATGATTAGTCATAAAAATGATGACTTACTAGCTTAATATGCAAGTTGAAGTGGCAATTTTACAGTAATTTTTCACATTTCTTGTTATTTATATCCATCACATTGGGTTGTTGGAAAAGTTGTGGTGTATGTTTTCTGTTTTCCAACAATCCAGTATTTTAAGAGACCATTTCCAAATATGAACAAACTTTGGTAGAAGTACTTCCAATATCTTCTCCCAGGGAGTAGTCAACAGAATATTGGATATTGGAATAATGCCTCTCCTCACAGAGGAACCTACCTGATTTGTTTCAAAATGGAAAATAGAACTTTGACCATTAATTTAATTATAAAAAAGAGCAATGTTAATGATCAGTTTTCCACCTTCTCACCCAACAGTTAAAACAATGTTTAGCATAATTTTCTCATACTTAATTTATTTATGTGTGTGTGTGTGTGTGTGTGTGTATGTATGTATATATACAAATGTACAGGCCCTATTTCCAGATATGTATAGTTTATTTTAGCCTCCTTGGGAACATATAAATAGCACATCAACTACTCATTCATAAAACAAAATGGAAAAACATCTTAAAAAATCATCCTGTCTAGTCCCTTCTCTTGACCCAAAGTCACAATTACCTAGTGAAACAAGTTAATGATGGGCACACCTAGTTTAATAGCAGTTGATATGGACAAACCTAGGAGTTGCTTTTGATTCAAAGCTCAGTGTGAAATGGTGATGAAAGAAAACTGACCCAAAATTATTATCCTAAATATGTTCCTAGAGTCTTCTAGATCCTAGAATGCCACTCTGACCTGCCATGCCTCACATTTGTCCAACAAGGTCTAGAATGTACTGTTTTGATTCTGGGCTCCATTTTTAAGTAGAGGAACTGACCATCAGGATCATGCTAAGAGAGAAATGATTAGGATGGTGAATGACTCATCAGTAGTGAGAAAGTGTTTAGCTTGGGGAGAGATGGGAGATAGTTGATGCATTTGAAAGACTGTCAGAGATATAGTTAAGTGATATTATTTCAGAAGAACAGGACATATGGGCAATAGTTCAGGATGCCAGTTCTCATAAGCAGATCTAAATTGGGAAGTCTCAGCTTGCCGTTGCCTTTGAAAGAAGCAGGGAGGCTACCCATCAGCAATCTTGTAGTAAGGTTTTGAGCTTTGGGTGGGAAGTCAAGGCTGATCAACTCAGATTTGTTCTGACTCTGGAAGTCCATGATTTTTACCTCTATTGCTTACATTTGCCCTATCCCAAGTCTTTTCATTTTTCTTGAACTAAAATGAATGGCCAGTACTGTGTCAACTGAACAAAGGTTGGTCAAATCCCATACTGATATTCAACACTATAAAGGTAACCATACCAGGAGCCCTCAGAGCTTCTACTTTAAATAGGGTCAAAGTCTACACACATGAGACTGGACACTTTCATGGACACTTAACTTGTGCTAAGTGATTTCTAAGGATTATTTCATTTAGTCCTCATAACAGGCAAATAGGGGGAGCGCAATTATTCCTATCTTACAAATGAGAAATGGCAGCTCAGAGAAGTGAGCTAATAACTTGCCCAAGATCATACAACTAATAAATGGTGGAACTAGGCTTCAAATGAGTGGTTGGATGATAAGGCCCATTTTCTTAACCGTAACAGTAGGGTACTTCCGTAAGCTAACTACCTGCCCTTATTTGGGATTGGGAGTCAGAATAACTTTTCATTAGGAATACCAACCATGGGCCATTGGCAAGAGTGAGGGAGGGGGATGGAGAGAGAAGAGAGAAAACATGCTGAGTAGAACTGGGGCTTTGCATTTGGAGCTCCAGTCCTAAGCAATTAGCAGTGCATTGATTCCATTGTGCTATCTAGGGCACAGCTCTGTTTCTGGTAATTTGATGGAAATATATGCAGGGAACACTTGTTGCTTCAGAAACGGACAAGAATGCTCTCAAAGAAGAAGAGCGGAGAAGAAAATACAAACTGCATGGACCAGGAATAGGAAACAAAGCCCATGATGGGAATATTAATCAGTATAAAAGTCTCTCTGTACACCGGAGGTCCATTTGTCCTGGAGTGGTCTTGGGGGACCTCAGGGGACACCCTGGCCTCATTTCTTCAATAGTTGAAGGAGGTATCCTGTTAGTCTGTCCATCTAGCCCAAAGGATGGGCTAGGCAATGCTGAGGACATGTCTAATTAATTAATTAATGAGGATACACTCCTTCCAGTTTAAGATTTGATGCTTCTATCTGAAACTCAGCCCAAATGACTATTGATGGGGTGTGATTTTCAACAATTCTGGTACTTCTTGATTGCCAACTGCTATAAAACTTTCATAGGATCACATCTATAATTTTATCTGGTAAAAATAATAATTATCCACTTTTAGATAGGGACTCACTAGTGGAGGAGCCTGTCATTAGGAAGTCCCCTAAAACTGGTATCACTGTGTGGAAGCCCATTTTCCTCCCTGGGCAGCCTTCATCCGTGAATTCAGTGATTTTACCATCCTTTCATCACCATGGAGGCCCACACTGGATTCACTTTCCTCATCTGTCAGGAGGTTATACAAGATTCCTTTCCCCGGGACTTAACCACCAGCAGTGTGTGGCCAGGAACAGATATTTTGTGGGACCTTGAATCATATACAATTTGGAGAGCCCTCTTTAGTAAAGAAAACTTTTTTTTTTTTTTTTTACCAAAAATTTGAATACAAAATTAGATGCAGGACTCTGAAAGGAACCTAGGCAAGTCAGAGTTCCTGAAACTTCAGTTTCATTTCCTTCAGAGTAAGTGAAGTGATTGTGAACAGGAGATTCGTGTTCACTGCTCTGAACTGCCTGTGTTATTTTGGGCAAATCACTTTTGCCCTCCAGGCTTCAAATCCTTATCTGTAAAATGGATTAGGTTATTTTAGGATCCTTTCCAGTTCTCACCTGTGAGCTCAGCACGGTTAATAGCTTCCAGGCAGCAGGTAAAGTAAGTTCAAAGAGTTCAGAATTAGTGAAGTTCCAGGTAGGAGAGTTTTCTCTTTATGAAATGAATGGTTTGGACACAAATGTCTTTTAGTTCTAGAGTTCTCAGTAAAGGTTTGTATTTCTGGCTGCATCCTCCTCTAGCCAGCAGGACCAGGATCTCTGTACATGTGTTCTCATTGCAAACCACAGGTTTAAAAAACAAAGCAGCCGTTCCAAACGGGAGAGCAGCTGAGCTCATGGTGATTGTGTCTTTAGCTTCTCTGTAGCACTTTACTTTCAGAGAAACTAAAGTGTACCTTTAACTTCGATGTCAACACAGGCAGCATACCTAAATTAGACAGCAAGGAAACCCACTAACCGAACGCCTTCGGAGACCAAAAAAAAAAAGGCAGCAGCGGCCAACCCCACTTCCCTCCTCAGTCCTGTCCCAGGCAGGAAGCTTAATACTCTGTGTCAAATGTTTTAAGACGAGCTAGGTCCTACATATAAACCTGGGGTGTAGTGAAAACTAATCTTGATTAAGAGTCAAGACTTTCTGCTGCATCTAGCTTTTAAAGAGGCTTAAAGCTAAAACAAAGTGTACATCTCAACTTGAATTCAGGAAGGGGAGTTGATAAAGAGCTAGAGGAAGAGTGGATTTGGAGGAAGCATCCCATTATCTCTGGGACAGGCCACAAGGCAGTAGAGGGAACCTGGAGACCACTTACAGTGTAGAAGTTGAGAGACAATTGACTTTCAAATGTGCCCATGCTCCCGTTCTTCACATGAACAGTGGCCACTCTGAAAAGGGGAGAGAATTTTGCATAAGGACTGAAACATGCCTGATTGATAGGGAGTGCAGCACACACACAAGCCAGCCAGCCCCCCACTCTCGAGAGCAACTTACCTCTGGTCAAAGGCAGCCTGGTTCACCAAGTAGGTGGAGTGGTAGGTGCAGGAGAAGGAGTAGTTTACAGGCTGGTTCTTTACGATCACTGTGCTGTCGTTGGAAACAATGTGGCTGTAGAAATGGTAGATGGGGGGCTTGTACTGGAGAGAGGAAGAAGGTAGTTAGGGTGGTCTGCTGCCTTACTGATGAGAATGAAGGTTCTGGGGAAGAGATGCAGAAGGCTCAGGAAAAGCCCCAACAGACATATGTGATTGCCACACTTTTTGTCTGTGGGTGAGCTGATCTTTTTTTGAGAGAGTTTTGCTATACATCATGTGCACCCACTGGAGAGACACAGAGAGACAGAGAGACAGAAAGTGAGTAATCAACCCCTCCAGACCCCACCCAGGGGAGATGGCCACACTGCAATCCCTTTGCCTCTATTCTCCCCTTGGAATTTTAGACACACATGCATACACACGTGCCTGGAGTGTTTCAAGCCATGAGGTCTGAGACTCAAACCATGGTTGGTCATGTGGGAGTCCTGTGACATAATCACTATTTCATCTGCTGGTCCCGAGCTATTTTTATTTTTATTTTTATTTTTCTGAGAAAAGAGTTAGATATAGGGGATGTGCACTCACCGGAGAGACAGAGAGACAGAAAGTGAGAAATCACCCTCCAGGGGAGATGGCCATGCCACAGTCTCTTCTCCTTCATCCTCCTCTTGGGATTTTGGGCATGCACGCACATGCACCTGGTGTGAGTTTCAAGCCACTGGGTCTGGGACTCGAATTGCGTTCGACTACATGGGAGTCCAGCAATGTAACCCTTATGCCACCTGCTGGTCCCTCAAACTGATTATTTTTAAAAAGAGTTCTTGACTCCATTCAACTAAGATTATTTAAAATAATCTAGGTTAGGGTTGATTCTTTAAAAAAAATTCATATAACCATTGGATTGCTGACCAAAAAGGCCTGAATTTCCTGTATCAACACTTTTTCTTTTCTTTTTTTAAATGGCTTTTGTCAGAGGGCATATGTGCTCATATATGTGTGAGAGAGAAACAGAGACAGAGAGAAGAAAAGTAAGAAATCATCCTGGGAGGGGATGGTCATACCACAAATACTTTTTCCTCTATTCCCTCCTCAGGATTTTTGGCACTCATGTATTCACACTGGCACTTGAACTGTAGTCCATCATGTGGGAGTTCAGGGCCCTATCCACATCAAGTGCTGACCCCTTTTTCTTTGTTTTTAAGATGGCATTTCCCTATTGTCACAGTTCTACCTGAGCCTCTCAGCAAGGACCACAAGCGTGCACCACCATGCCCAGTTCTTTCAGACAGTCTTGCCACATTACCCAGCCCAGCCTTGAATTCATTATTTTCTTATCTCAGCTTCTCCAGTTACTGGAAATACAGGGGCATGCTACTGTGCCTGGCCTTTTAGTTGGACTGGAAATTGAAGTGGGCCTCCCAGATAGTTTTAACCTGTGGAGCATGAGGCCTTAATGGCATGTGGCTTGGCTTCCCGTATGAACTTTTTTTTTTTTGGGGGGGAGATTTTTGCTATAGGGTGCATGCGTTTGCCAGACAGACAGAGACAGAAAGTAAGAAATCACCCCCCAGGGGAGATGGTCACACCACAATCCCTTCTCCTCCATTCTCCTTGGGATCTTGGACACACACACGCACGTGCCCAGTGTGAGTTTTAAGCCACCAGGTCTGGGACTTGAACCACAGTTGACTACATGGGAGTCCAGTGACATAGCCATTATGCTAACTGCTGGTCCCCCCATATGAACCTTTTATTCATCTCCCCTGTTGAAGTATCCTAAGTGAACGCCTTCATTCATTTCGCATTTCTAGAGTGTTACTGCCTAGTTCTTGGCTCTTTCCTTCTTCTAACCATAAGCTCTGTTTCTGAGACTCTTTCTTTTGACTTGGTGCATTCCCCAAAATCACACAATAGTAGATCTGGAAGGGATCTTGAACTTTTACTTGAGGAGTAACCAGCCTGAAACCACAAAGAGGATTTCTAGTTCATCTTGCCAGGTTAGATTCAAAGGCATGGTGCTTGTTAATTATGCCTGTGACTCTTCCCATGAAACCACTGACTCCTTGTGAGGGCGTTAGGAAGAGGAGATGGCTATGGACGCTCTGCTCTCGTCCCCTGTAACCGTATTTGTACAGTCTGTTGGCAGGCTAGGCGGTAGGCTTGCTAGACCACAACGGGAGGGCTGGAAGACCAAGGCTCCCTCATGACTACATCTCTACTGGTTCTGTGGCCATGACCTAGTGACTTTATCGTGAGGTCTCCGATTTCTCCTCTATCTGTGATACTTGCCAAGAGGCTGTCTGTGGCTCTTAATTGTATGATTCTGTGCCCTGGGGACTACAGATGACTCAGTTAAGAATTGTGTTACTCCTTTAAAATGCCCTTCTAAATGCACTTATCACCACTTGAAGCCTTGAGAAGAGGCTGGCCTACCCATCTGCTTATCCAGCCCTGGAAGGACAGCAGTTCATGAACACAAGCTCAGAACTGGATGTGAGTTGGAAGTGGAAAACATACTTGGTTCTGTTGATCAAAGTTAGCCTGGTTGGCTTTGGCAACAAATTAGGAGAATAGAATCAAGCCAGAAGAATCATCTGAACTAGGCAGAAGAGAAGATTTTAAATACTACCAAAATCCTAGGAAATTTGGGAACCGAGATTGATATTTAGAAGGAATTGGTAAATTCTGAATCCTTCTAAGGATGAATAGCAAACGTCACATGATTGGGCCCAGTTACCTTGATCTGAAGCAACTCTACATCACGTGGCCTGGCCTTACCTCAGACTGGGTTCCACAGTAGGACTTGTTTTTAGGTGATAAATCTGGGATTACGAATTGGTAGTAACCTCCTTCATGGACCCCGTTGTAACACAGCCCTCCAAGAGCCAGCTGGTGCACTTCCCATCCATAGGGACATTCGGGGATTTTGGTGATGATGGTTTTGGGATAACAAAAGACAAGAATGACATCTGGAAAGAGCACACATTTGAAATCAGATGTGGGAAAGGAACGGTGCTTTTCAACCATGCCTGAATATGCAAAGTAGTCGGTTCAAAACGTCCCCACACTTCTTTACCAGCTGTGGTGACAGCTTTACCTACGCTTCAGTCATTGAAGTTCTACTTTTGTAATAACTGCACTATACTTAATGTGTATTTAAAAGTGACCCACTTTTAAACTTTAAGAAATGTATCTGTGAACTCACAGACTGACTACATTAGATACGTACACAAATATAAACACATGAGGACTTTTAGAAGTTCATAGAATAATGAAATTAAAGCATGAGTTTATTTTGTTGCAAAAATTTTTGAAATTCATGCATAATTTTTTTTATAATACACGTTTTCCATGAAGTTTTTAAGGCCTATACGTGTGTGTGTGTGTGTGTGTGTATTAACATAGTCTTTAAAGTGAGCACATAACCTAAAATAAAAAATGCATTTCTTGTACAATATTGTTTAATATTGATTCATGAGGAGGACAGAAATTCAATAATTCAAAAGAAAAAATGGGGAGACTTTTTTTATGTGTCTATATGCATACACATGCATACATACAGAGAAAGAGTAAGGGGAGAGAGAAGTCGGACAAACACTCTCTAATTAAAAGAATTCCAAGGTTATCCAATACATTTTTTGCTTTCTGTGAAAAAAGCTGATTTGGCCTGGGTTGGGGAGAAGGGCTTAAGTGTGTTTCTACTTGGCTACATTATTGCATTTGCAAAGCAAGCACAAACTCTGAACATTGCAAAAGGACACTTCAGGAAATGTTCTTTTCCAGGAAAATGGACTGGCACCGGGCATACCTGCTTTATTCGGAGTGCACGATCTTGCAGAGGCTTCCACAAAGATGGCCAACAGGACAAAAGCCCTCATCACCATTGCTTCTCAGAGCCTGGTCTGATCCAGGTGGCCAAACCAAGCTGGCCAGACGTTTATGATCCTTCCAAGGCAGCCTTGATCATTCTAGGTCAGAAACATGAATGAAAAGTTAAAATCAAGGATAAGAACAAAGCAGCACACACAGTCCTAGGAGAAATTTCCAAGGAAGATTGTCCCATTTCTAATTCTTCTTCTTTAGCTCTGAGAAGCAAAAAGTGAAGCTCATACCACCAGGAGTGTCAGGAACACACGCAGTTGCTCATGTTCCCAACTGTTTCATTCTCCCTGGACTAAGATGCTGCCTCCCAGATTCTCCCCAGATCTGCAGCCCCAGTTTCCGATAGACTTTATATAGCCCCAGGGTGTAAAAGGAGCCGCTCCAGATAAGTCACAATGAGCATGCATTATCCACTCTGGGGGGACTAAAAAAGGACCGTGCACAATAATCCAATGGGAAGCTCGGTTACCACCTGAGTCTTTTTATTTCACAGAATGGGAATGTGTGCTGCTTTTTTTTTTTTCTTTTTTCAACCACTGCAGCCAGGATAGGAATAAAATGTTGATTTTTCCCCTCCTTGTTACTAATAAATAACTCTGGTTGGAAGTGAACTATTTCTCCACATTTCCAGGTCACACTTCATTAATGTCTTGCTGTCTTTGGTTTACTTCTTTCCTAATTTTATAGTAGGTGATCTAAGCTTTTAATGTAGGAAGATGCAAACTCAGTGTTGTTATGCTTGATACATGGACGTAAAATAGGCCATTTGTGTTAATGCAGATTTTTTAAAGGTTTTTTTTTTATTTTTTGGTCTAATATTTAAAAATAAACTTTAATGTCTAGAACTTCATCCTAAAATGCAATTTTTAATTGCACACGCTCTAGGCTTCCAAAGTTTTATTAGTTTTCTGGAGCAATGCTGTTGGAAGAAGGAAGTTGAGAAGGCTATCTTATAATCCAGTTCTTAGTCACCCAACAAGATCCTACTGAAAACAACAGATAAAACACTCCTGTGAAGTTTCTGGTTCTATTACTGAGGCTACACATAATTAATTGTTCAAGAAACATTGGGATGTGTCTCCTATGTTTATGTGGTAGAATTTCCTTATTTCCTCAAAACATATCATTACGTTGATGATATATTGACCACAGTGGTGTCAAAGCATTAAGGGTTTCACCAGATGGCAAGCCATTAAAAATATACGTGACTCAGTTTCCCTCTTGATCAAATGGAGGCTGTAGCTCTGGGCTGACCTCATCGGTAGGAGAAATTATATGAAGGCCCTTGTGAACTGTAAAGTACCAGAGAAAGACAACCATTTCCAGTAACATGTAGATGTCTCATGAGTTGTTTTTAGAACATACCTTTTCTTTAGAAATACCAAAAAGGGTCTGTTAGATTTGTGATTCATATGACACGGGTATATTTTTATTGTGCAACATGCATGCAATATATTTTATAGATAAAAACCAAAAAGGCTGAATGGAGCAAGGAGGGGAAATCAGCTTAACAATTTGTTTTACACTGGGATAGAGTTTGGTGTGGCCTGGAAACATTAGCGCATTCATAATGTTCTCTATAGTTAATTCCTGAGCAGAAAAAAGGCATCAATCTCACAAGTATGTGTGAATTCTCTGAGTTTCTCTTTCCTAGGCCTCAGCAGATAATCTGTTTCTTCCTCATTCCTTTTTATTACACTTTGAGTCCCTGTGGTACACGAGGCATTAGGGCAGGTCCTGGGAAGACACAGGAAGCCCAAAGGCTGTTTCCCTGAGGAACTCGGAAAGGGCCTGCACAGACTGATGGGAAACTGTACTAGGAACGTGGGGTAGAGAGGAGGGGAAGAGGGAGCATCACAATGTGTGGCAGAGAAGTCCAAGTCGGGGCACAGAAGTCTGAAGCAGCCCAGTTGTAGACGGTTCGGGCCCTCTGACGTGACATCGATGGTGGCTAACTGCTGACAATGTTGGATTGCCCTTCTGTGTTGGTTGGGTTATTGTTCCCATTTCAAGAGGATTCTTTTCACACATCTTCAAATCCATACTTTTTTCCAGCCAACTTTGGCCCAGGCAGGTCAACAGTATTATCTTACCTCTGACCTATGAGGACAGAATTCACCCATGGAGAGGGCCACAGGAATAAACTCTTCCTATCTCCCATTGGAAATCCTGTGGTTGCTGGTAAACAGCTGTAAGGCTCTGCAGGGGGAGGCTGAGCCATTAGCCTCTGCAGTCTGCCTGGAATCCAAAGCCCACCTCGACCACTTATTAACTGTGTTCTTCGGCAGGTTCCTTAGCTTCTGAGCACCTTAATATCCTCTTCTCCTGAAGACAGGGTGTTATGTATGACAGTGTCATTGAGAATAGTATGAGGTCTGTGTCGGTTACCATAGACAGAGCTAGTTTTCCTCTATTAGGGCAAGGCATCAGGAAAGCCTTTGGTTTCTATGCTTAGTTCTACTTCGGAGATGCAAAGAGGGGAGCCCATCAGGAGTTGGTCACCACTAGACAGCTATTGCCATCAGTGCTGGCTTATGTCATATGTAACTAAGAGTACAGAATTAGGAGCGCTGGTTCTATCACATGTTCAGTTATGTGATCTTGGGAAAGTAATCTTGTCCGAGACTTTCCCAAACCTCAGTTTCCAAATTCATGAAATGGGCTTCCCACCTCTTAGGGCTAATATGACAATCAAATGAAAGAACGTACATAAATCACTAAGCACAGTGCCTAGCACACGGTGAGCACTCAATAAAGACTTGCTAGGGCTGGGCAGGTGGCATGGTGGTTAAGGGCACTGGACTCCCACATGGCCAGGTTTAAGTCCTGGACCTGGCAGCTTGCTTTCTCATTTTCTTTCTTTTCTCTTTCACTCTGCCCCTCTCTGGTCAAATTAAATAAATGAAGATAAATAGTTCTTAAAAAAAAAAAAAAAAAAAAAGAGCCTTGCTGCTGGAAAGTGTATTGGTGTATTGGTTGATATCCTTGGACTGAACGAACCTGTCAGTAGTGTTCCCAGATGAACTCTGAGTGTTTTCTAATGGTAATATTTCTCTTTTTAGCAGCCCACCTTATCAAAAGAACAAGTGCTTTTGATTTCAAGAGAAGCCTGATAACGATAAGATCCCGGGACAGAGAAAGAAATCACTCCTCAAATTTCTTGAGTAGGAATTCAGCTAACAATCAGCTACATGATACTTCTTTCGCGGGCAAGCTGAATGAAGTTGGGGAAGTGGACTCAACTTTTGTGGCGGGCTGGTCTCTAGATGTTTAATTTACATGAGAACCAGAATGGCACAAAATGTACTTGGACCAAACAGTATTTGATACTTGCTCTCTTAAGAAGGTAGGATGCTTCTATTTTTTTTTTTTTTTGTAGGGATAATTACCCACCATTTGGGTGCCCCACCCGGTCCCCTCTTTGTTCCCCAACACTCTGCTTCCTTTCTAAGGTGAAGATGGAGCAAGAGAAGCACAAGGAGAGGTGGAATCCAAAAGCTAAGCCTCCCACTGAGACCACTGCTGTTTCTTCAAACACACACAAATAAGACTGATGGAGAGATCTTAACAATCCCAGGATCTTGAAACAGCTCAGTAAAGAGGGTTTTTGTGGCGGACTTATCTGAATGATGAACTGGTCTCTTTTGCACCTTTCTATTGTGAGTTGCCAGAAAAGGTACCCATTTTATTGGAAAGTCCTGAATCATCTGCGAAAAACTGGCCCAGGCACAAAAGAGTTGCCATTTACGAAATTCCAGTCAATATTTTAATTCATAGCTCAAAAGTATAGGTCAGAAATCATGCAATAAAAACCAGTGAACTTGAGACCAGCAGATGGCATAATGGTTACTTCACTAGACTCCCACGTAGTCCACCATGGTTCGAGTCTCAGAACTGGCAGCTTAAAACTCACACCAGGCGTGTGTTCACGCATGCCCAAAATCCTGTGAGGAGAATGGAGGAGAAGGGATTGTGGCATAGCCATCCCCCCTGGGGAGATGATTTTTTACTTTCTGTTTCTCTGGCGAGTGCACTTGCCCTATAGCAAAAAATAAAATAAAATACACAGTGAACTCTTACTAAGGTAACAGATGATACTTTAAATATAAAGCCAATAAATATGCATTAAAGTTTAAAAAGCTGTGTTATTAATTTATTCTTTTAAAACGTGCTATTTGGAGTTCACTAATCATTGGATTTGTTAAATGGACTCTATTGTTTTCTTTAATCTCTGAATCAAGCCTTTTTCTATTTTGTGAAAGGCTCTGTTTGCCAATTTTCAGATGAGTGGGTGTTCCTAACCAGGCTTCAATGGCTTAAACCTCACAGCACTCCCTAGGAATGAACAATTCTCTAGGGAGAGTGGCAGAAAGTGATCTTCCTAAAGGAGTACTGAGAAGCAAGAAAAGATCTTCTTCTGCTAGAGAATCAGAAATTCAGAGCAAGAAGCCTTCCCTCCCCATCCGTCAGCTGACCCCGTAGCCACCAGCTTCAGAGAACCAGGTTGTATCAGGCAGATAAACTGGAGGACTAGAGGGTCCTCCGGAAGGTCGTGGGATCTTACATGGCTGATCGCCAAGCAATGCTTTGCTGCTTTCTCAGGACAGAAGGACCCTCTAGTCTTCCATTGCCACATGAGCCCCTCTCTTGTCTCCATACCACCCTCCTCACCCTCTCCTTTCTGGGGAAAACAATAGCTCCTGCTCAGGTAAATACTAGGGATACCATTACTGGTCAAAACATCAGGGCAAATCATTTATTCTATTCTTGAAACTTCCTAGGGACTCGCTAATGTATTTTTGCATTAATTTGCCCATTCAATCATTACCAAATAAGTAACAAGTGTTTGTTACTACAGGCAGTGGTTAAATATCCAGACACATACTACTTGGGATAAATGTAAGAATATTGAGGAAAGACACAAAAGGCTTTAGAGATGAAGAATAAAAGGCCAGAGAGTAGGCATTTACTTTAGACAAGGTAGTCAAGAAAATGTTTTTAAAGAGAGTTTTAAGGGACCAGCAGGTGGCATGGTGGTTAAGGCGCTGGACATTCCTACATGGTCAACCA